TGGGCGATAGGGGACCTTGGATCAAAGGTTCTCTAGTGTCTGTAGATGCCTAAATCTACCGCTACCGTTTCTCCCTGTGAAACAGAAGGGAGAAGATGGCACGAAAGCAAGAGTAAGGCAGGATTATTTCTTTTTGAGTTGGATCAGATCTGTCATACTGTAGCTCTGTATCAGTACATGGTTTCTTGCAGTAATTTCTACCTTTGAGAAAATTTTACTAATAGGCAGAACTTCATTTTTACATCTACTTGTAGGGCATGTCCTTATTTTCTCTTTAATAGTGTTTATTTTTACTTGGATCTATTGTTTTGCCATTAAATACATCACTTTGGGCAGCTGGTCTATTCCAGTTAGTCTTGCATTCATTATAGAACAGAACATTACGTATTTCTTCTTTGCATTATATCTATTAAAATTATTAGTTCTTCCTTGCTTAAATTTACTGCATTTGCCTTTCCTCCTTAGGATTGGAAGAATCTGGGATTCTGGAAAAGTAAACTGTTCTCCCCAATATTCCTTGCAAGCTGTGAGATATTTAGAATTGCAGCTGCTTAGTAGGAACTGGGAGTTTCCAGTTAGTTTTTAAGTTTGTGTAAGAAGCCTGTTTGTTGCCAGTTTTAGGAATTTATTTTAGTTTAGCATGATATTTTTAAATTTTTATACCAATTGACCGGACTGGATGGCATCTCCAGATCACTTGTTTCCCCTCTCTCACAAAATAGGTATTGGAGACTAATTAGATTGTGTCTTTGTGTAGGACTAGTTTAATTTTTTGCTTATGCCACTTACATTTCTTAGGTACCATTGCCACTTTCTGTTCCTGAATAAACTGCATCTTTTTCAATTCTTTGATAATTGATGAGATAGGGAGATACTCTTATTAAAATGACGAAGAAAGCTTGTACTGATGCTGGGCAATGCTTTCTTCTCACTTTGTAGGGCTGATGGCAGTCCACTGGTGTTTTAATTTATCAGGCCTGACTCTTTAGCAGTTTAAAATCAGTGAGTTGCAAAATGAGACCAATTCTGGTCCCATCCTTAAGTATCCTTTTCAAAGTTTAAACCCAGCAATTTACTAGTCATCTCAGCAGCACTTACAAATAAGATGCTCTGATTTTCAGGTGTAGCAGAAAAGTAGTAATCTGGCTGTTATGTCAGTCCTTTTTCACGTCGTCACAGATTGAAATTTTCTGTTTGATTTTCTGACTGTAATGATGCTTCAGTTCTTCTCCCTGCTGCTTTTCAAAACTTACAAATTTGTAATATTTGTAAATATAGAAAACGGGTCAGCATGACAGAGTGATGAGGGTAAAATACTCTCTGGTGGGGAGTGTTTGGTGTATGAGTCCAACTGTTCAGAAAATTTTGTTCCTGGCCTTTCTTTTTATGGTTTACCTTTTTCAAAAGCGAGATGTGTGACATTGCCACTTTTGGGGATGCTGGTTAGTATGCCATCACTGGCAGATTTTATCACCATTGATACTGTTTGTGTGGTTAGGTTTTGGTGGTTGCTTTGGTGTTGGTGGTTTGGTTTAGGTTTTTTTTGATTGTTGATAATATATTTCCTCAGTTGTTGGTCAAGATCAGTTCTCTGTACTAGTTAATTAGCTATATATTAATATCAGCCTCATCTGAGATTGTACTGTTTCTGGTATAATGTGGTATTGATCATCTGTAATGCTAACTTTTAATTGGAAAATTTGATCATAATTTCACATCTTTACCTGCTTTCAGTGAAATAAGACTTACTGAATAAAACTGACTTCAATAAAAAAAACCTGTAGAGTACCAGATATTTGCCTTTAATTTCGTAGTGATGTATTTTTATGCCTAGGAAGATATTGCATGAAGAATTTCTCTTGTTCCCATATTTAGCTTTTACTTTATCAGGAATCGTTGTGTAATTTCTAACTTGGAGATATCTAAATAATTCCTCTTATAAGAAAAATCATATTTTATGCTTATCTCCCAAAATATAACCTCTTGTCCCTTTCTCAAGCTGTTTTCTGAGTTTTCAGTATGGATGGATTAAAGTAACATTAAACTCTCTCAGTGCAGCTAGAAGGCTAAGATGATTCTGGCAGAAAGTGAAGAGGATTACTTTAAATCAATGAATATGGTAATTTTCACACTAAATGTAACTGAATTGTCATGAGGCACAGAACATGCCAAACTTTGATTCATATGTTACGTATACAGAGGAAAGGAAGGTAAGCCAGAGCCACATTTTCAGCATAAATCACGACTCAGTTTCTGGTGCAAATATAGTTTTGTGTTGTTTTAAGCAAAGATTTAAACTTTATTTCAACTTCTGCCACTTATTCTATCTGTGTTGTTAAAGAGCTGTGCATGTCCTTTTGAGTATATTTTTAAATACAAGTAGTAATCTATTTTTTTTAATTCTGTTAATAAAAAATGTATTGCCTACTTACTACTTGAATGTATTGACTACGATGTACTACAATATTGACTACTTATTGTTCACCCACACTTTCTCAAATCAAATCCAATCTCTCTTTTAATGGGAAAAAGTGGTAGGATTTTTTTCCCCGATTCTTGAAGCCCAGCAGTGGTTGTACTTTATACGAGTAAGCTTTTCCCCACATCTGCCCATCGGAGAAGTGAAGGTTAGGATTGCTCAGTACTTGAATTCTCTGAAGGAATGTCAGCTTTCTAAGTGAGCGTAAAGTTTGCTTTTTTAAAAACCCGTAAACCCATAATTGACCTTCTATAAAGACTTCCTTTAAGCACAGATCTCTGTCTTACAAAAGAAAATGCAATTTAATTTTGATTATGATTCCTTTAGTTTCTCACTTTGAAAGTAATGCTAAGCTTCATGTACTACTTTGTCAGTGTAGATTTGGTTGCTTTAGTCGACATTGTCAGTTTAGGAGTCATAGTACGTCAACTAGTAAAGGATAAAAACCGGATTGTTATAATTGTGTTGGGGAATATGAAGTGCTTGAATGCACTCGGAGTCGTATAGAGTTCAGCCTGTGGCCTTGTGTGGTGACAGTGCTAGGGAGGGATTCTAGAAGGGTGCCGTGGTTGGCATTTAAGAGTTGTGTCTTGGTCAGTGTTCACATGGGTGGCTGGGGTAACAGAGTCCCGCAGTCACTATAACATGGTGTTGGAGAAAAACAAACCCGAAACCATTCTGCTTTGTGACTTGCAGTCCTCTTTAAGATTAGGAATAAAGGTGGATCCAGCACCTGAAGGAGCAGGAGGAACAGGATGCTGCTTGGACAACACCAAAGGCTGAGCAACATGAAATGAGTCTGTTTGCTTCTCACCTTACAGGGAGGAAATTCTTTATCGGTATTGTGACACAGCTTCCAAATATAGCAGATGTAATTTTTTTTTTTTCTTTTTCTCCCTCAAATAACTGTGTAAATACATGTGTGCTGGTTCTGGGGCACACTGGAAGAAATGACAAAGCTTGATGTCCTTGCTAATAAATGGGAGTAATATGATTGGCAAATGATGGTGACAAGCAGAAGGGGGCCAGAATGAGGAGAACAAAGTGTACCTTCTGGAGATCATAAGTAAAAGCTCTAAAGAAGCAGTCAGACTTGCCATTAGGGAAGTTTGGGACGAGCATCACTGTTGCCCAAGTGCTGGTCCTTGTGTCTGTGATGGGGCATACTGAGGTTCTCTCTGCGTTCCCCTAAAGAAACTCCAAGTGAAAACATGCAGAGACCATGCTAAATCTCTAACAAGTGCCTTAGAAGGCCACCTTGGCACAACTCCTTGTCTAAATATCTCAGAAATATGTAGGTGAAGTTTATTAAAGAAATACTGGGTTTGAACAAATAAATGTTAATGTCATGTGATAGAAAAATGTAATATCTGATCTGTTTTTCTATTTCACGGCCCGGATGTTTGATATGTACAATTCCTGAAGTTCATTATATTACCATGAACAAAATAGTGAAGAAAAGCCACGTGCCTGGGGTTATTTTTATAACAGTGTGTGCTTGAAAACTATTTCAAACCTTTTTAAAGCAGTGCTTTATTTAGAGTTCATTGCTTTTTAATAATAGAAAAAAATAAACTCTTGAATCTTTCATAATCTTATCATTGATTAAAACTGATTTGCCTCACTGGTTTGAAATCGTAATTGCGTTTGGGATATTGAAGTGCATTGTTGTTGAGTATTCAAAGCAGCGTCTTTCTTACTTTTCCTTTCATAGTGCCCTCTTTACGTTGCTGTCCGTGTTGTAGAGGTGCTTTCTGCTAAGGGAACAATGCTAAGGAACCTAATTCAGTTACGCATGCAGTCTGCTTCACCTTCTCCTGATCAAACCAGATTTATCTAAATTTTAAGTCTACTTCTGTAGTAAACTCTGCTGTACCTGCAGAGCACTGATGTCCAATGCTTACCCACGCATCCGTTTTTTCTTGCTTGTCAGCCTTCCTGTTGTCATATCCTTATGCTTATTCCAACTCTGGTTTGCCCAAGTTGCGGTTCTGACACTACAACGATTTCCCTACCTGTTTTCTGAGAAATAAGTCTTAGGCAATTTCTCAGATGAAGTCGTGCAGTATTTCTTTAGCATTCATCAGTATTCTAATTCCTCTCTATAAATCCTGTAAATGGTTCACACTTTTGTTTTAAACCAGTAGTGTATGTTTTAGTTTTTCTTGACTATGAGAATGTTTGTGGAATTAGCAACTAGTAGCTTTTACTACTTTCTTCAGTCTTTCAGTTAGTGGGTTGTGGGGTATTATTTTTTTTTTAACTTTATTTGATATCTGTTTTGGTGGAAAATCAGGAACATTCTAAACTCAGCAGTTAGGATACTATCCAATAATTGTATTTTACTCTGAACAGTATTCAAGATATGCACCAAGGTCATATTTTGCTTTGACAGAATTGTTTTGACATTTCTCCATCCAACTAGTCTCTCTGAAGTTGAAGATTATTTTCCAAGTATTTAGCTGCAGTTTTTTGTTCACAAGGGAGAGAATCTGAACAACATTACTTTAATTCTCTACAGGTGCAGATGCTGAGCAGGATGCTGCTATCAAACTTGCCCAAGAGCGAGCAGAGATAGTTGCCAAGTATGACAGAGTAAGTGAACTTGATAATAATTTTAAAGACATTTTATAATTAATCTTAGTAATATGTCCGTTTAAAAAAAAATGAATCATAGTTGCCGCTAGCTTTTGTTTAAAATACTCTCTGTAGTACTAGTCTGCTGGTTTCATGATAGATACACTGGCCTCTGGGTGAATTAAATTCTCCCTCCTTGAGGGATGTTCTGGATAATGATTCAATCAACTCATTTTTCAGGTGCACGGCAAGTTGCTTTGGGACTAATTTAAGGTAGTGTAATGTATTAGAAGTAATGAAACTAGGGTGTTTCAGGATGCTCAGTATATCTATGAGATCAGAGGAACTCTTATTTTACTTTTTACTTAATTTTTTATTATGGTAATAAAACATTTAAATCATTACAGAGAACTTAAAAGATGAGTGAAGTGCATTGTTTGTCAGATTGCTGTGAGGAATTGAAAAAATACACTAGTCATCCTTTTTTTTTTTTTTTTTTTTTTCCCTTGAACTGCTTGTCAAGTAAAAGTGTGGCACGGAGTATGCCTAGAATGCCTACACCATATTCACAAATTCTTGTAACACTTACGGACTTTATAAGTGTCATTGGAGTACTGAGCAATCGACTTTTTCTAGAGTTGATGAAACTTTTACATTGCTAGACTTAGTGGTGATTTGCACAGTGTGCACTTAAGTGAGTGGCTGTGTTTTTTTTTTAACAAGAAAAAGACTACACACGTGGTTTGTGTTCTGAGTGGTGGTGCCTCTTCACACCCAGTAACCTGTGCGTAGCACATACCAGAAGAATATATAGCTGAAATGTACTTAAATCTCTGCAAGTCTTATGTAAATTGGCAATTGGAGTAGAAAAGAGGGATATGAATGAGTACTTCATGGAAGGAAAACTCAGTGCTGCATTCTGTTTGACAGCTGCTGGAAGTCGGCATGGATGTTAGCTCAAGACTGTCCGCAGTATGTGCTCTTACCAGGTGATGGTTCAGGAAAGGTGGACTACGGAAATAAAACAAGTAGAGGGCACTATGTGGGAACCTTGATGGACTATGTGGAGATTAACAACAGATGTGAGATTGTGATAAGTCTGTGGTTGAAATCAGCGGTTGAAATTTATTCTGTGTATAGCAGTGACCAAAAGAGGTTTCCTGTAATTAAAATACTCTTTGTAGGGGCTGGAAGTGGTGTGCTACTCTTCTTTTTCTTGGTTGGTCAGTTTAGGACTAGTGTTCTACTTCCCCTCCACTACCCTACTGCCAGTGTGTCCCAAAGATTATGCTTTGGGTGGTTGAATCTTGTCTTCTCTGTCTTAGCTTATTGTGTCATAAAACTTAATTTTGCTCTTTTGTTTTCTTTCCTTGTCTTTAGGGACGGGAGGGTGCACAGATTGAACCGTGGGAAGATGCTGACTATCATCTTTACAAAGTCACAGATAGATTTGGGTTTCTACAGTAAGTAGCAAGCTTGAAAAGAAAATAATATTAAGACTTTGCTACTATTACTATTTTATGCGTTTTATTCAATTGCTTATTTAGTGAAAGTAGTAGTATACTTTTTAATAGATCTTCTGGACATGGCTGTGTAAGTTTTGGGTAATCTTTCACTGCTTTTCAATTCCATTCCTAGGGGTTGTTTTAGTTCTGTAACTTGATGCTGTGTAGGGAGTGAAATGTTTTTTGAGTATTTTATTTGGGAATGAAAATTGATAGTCTACAAAAAAGATATTTCAAGCTGAATTAAATTGCAGAGGTTTTGGGGTTTTGTAATTGTGTTATATATAAACAAAATTGAAGTTCTTGGAAGGATTTAAAAAAAATTTATGATGTTATTCTTTAAAAAAAAACCCCACCAACCAACCAACAAACCCAATGCACTTAATGTTACATCCCAGTCCTTCAAAGATAAATCTCATTTAATTTCATATATTTAGTAACCTTACTGAAGTCACTGCTCTGGGACCTAATGTCTCTGATCTGGGACCTAATGTTGCATCATAAAGTCAAGTCAGCAAACACCAGAATCCAGTTAGATACCTCCTTTGTAACAAATAATCTGTGTCTTTTTGGCAGATAAAGATGAGCGTATTAAAACGTATTAGGACTTTTGTGGCTGGCAGATGGAAATATCCAACTTGCAGAACACAAGCTGACTTGCTACTTTTGATAATATCCAGTCGAGACTCTCTGCCATTCTCGGTGTTTGGCATTTATGTTTGAATACATGAAGTGCAATTAAAATTAAAAAAAAATAAATATCAGTGATGAGTGGAAAACTCAGTAATAACTATGTACTTCTATAGTATTGGAGGGGGTATGGAGTGTTTTGGTTTTGGGAGCATTTTTCTCCCCTCTTTCTTCTATTTCGTAGTGTTGGCGTTTTTATAAGCTGTCAGTTAAAACAGTCATCTTTACCTGTAGACTGCCTTTGCTTCATCAGGCTGAGTTAACTTGCTATATGATCTCCAAACAGTTCTGCTTTACACAGAGAGGTCTTTTTGTTGGTAAACTACAGCTGCAACACTATGTGTCTGGTTTTGTAGCTGCAGTTGTAGGCATTCTTAATGGAGAATGGATGTCAGAATTATTTCTTGTGCAAAAGTAATTGAGGCCACTGCAAAGTTCACCACTGACTTCAACGGGAATTGAATCACGCGCCTTCAGATTTGCAGGAGGATTATTGATTTTGGTATCCTTATGAACTCCTCAACTTTTCCTGTTACTTTTATTGTGATATTTGCCTTTTTATACGTTAAGCGTGGAAGAATGTCTGATACAATTGCTGCTGCAGTGACTTTTCAGGAGTCTTGGATTTCATGGCTCTGATGCCATAGTATATTTGAGATGTAGTTATGGAGGTGATGATTGGCAAATGACCATGTGCCAGCTTCCACGCTGCTGTAGCTGTAACTTAAATCTACTATGGGAACCTTACATTGCTCTGTAGTCCTTCTTGTGATGTTGTAGGGTAGATGGACCTTAGTCATTAGTCCATACTTCCTTTCTAGTAATGTCATTAGTCACCAGTGTGAAGTCTATGCAGAAATCATTCTCTGAACAGTCAACTTCAGAGGATGAAATCTGAAAGATTTATGACACATAAGCACTGCACAAATTAACAATATATGTAGATACTCTCTCTTCACTAATTGTGTGATATTTGTTGCTTATATGCTAATGATGTCTCGCTGTAAGGCAGATTTCACCTGAGTGTGCCATCAAGGCTGCTTTATGATTCTTTAAAGCAAATTCATTGCAAATGTCACTTTTATTTTCCTGAGAAATAAAATTTCTCCTAAGAGGAGAAATATAATTAGGATAAGCATATCAACTGTCTGTCCCTGAAAACACAATTTACATTGTACTATAGATTTTAACTATGGTCTGGGTTCATGTATACTGCAATACTGAGCCCATGCAATCTCCTGTTTCTGAAAGGAACTCCTATTCCTAAAAGAACTTGAAACTGAGCAGTGTGTACCAAAAGCCTCAAACAGTTGCCTTAATGGTTATCATCCATAAGACCCATAATTCCCCATGCCCCATCTATTGGGTGTTTACGAAACAGGGTGATGCACACTGAAAACTGAAAGTCTCGGGGTAGTATCAAGCTTACTGTACTCCAGTTAAGTTGAGATCTGCAATGATTTGTACACTTGTTTACACTGACATCTTAAAATACTAAGTAGCTGAAAAACGTCTTTTGTATCAGAAGGCTGTTGGATGTGGGGAACCTGATGTAAATTTAGGGCTTGTTTGCTCAAGTACAGTAGGCCTTGATTACTATCGATAGTTTATAAACTTCTCTTTCTCCTTGGCTATGTCCTATCTGCAGCTTTCCTTGGCTCTTTGAAGGTGCATTCAAAGTACAGCTGATTGCTGATAGGGCAGAGAAGATAAGTTTGATGGCATGAAGCACTCAAGCTGCCTTTGTAACTTGCCACCAGGAAGAAGATGGGAGAAAGCAATGGCTAGAGACTTTTAAAGAGTAGGTCTAGATCTATGATTCTTCTGGTGTCCCAGTGTCCTTATTTGTGTGTCAAACTGGGAATTAGTAAACTTGGAGAACCTGAAGACACTTACGCTTCTACTGTCTTTCTGCCATACCAAAGTGGGCAGATTTTAGATTTTCTTCTGAGAACATACTGAGTAGCAGAGGGAAGGTGCCTTTTTATGTAACAGTGTAGAAATTGCTAGTGATTGGAAATGGCTATGACGTTTCCCTTCAGGTGAAACATCTCACCTTAAGGCTAACCTTCATTTAGGACCCACAGTTAAAATATCTGTTGCACAGCTTTGGTTGATTCTAATTGTTGTTGTAGTACTTATTGTTTAGATAACTTATTGTTATCTTTACCTGGCATTGTCTTAAACTTTTAATAGGTGCTGCCTTAAGATCACAATTTAGTTTGTTGGCTGTAGTGCCGTTTTTTATTTTGCAATTCTGCAAATCAATATGGAAATTCTAGTTGACTTTGGATATTAAAAGGAAATTGGTGTGGATAGAGTATTAAAATAGCTACTTAAAACGAAAAAGATGAGTTAATACCTAATGAATTTAGGGAACAAGAAAGAAAGTTCAGTGAGCTGAAGTACCAAAGCATTGCAATAAAGGATAAAGGAAAGTTTTAGAGGGAAGTTGGATTTGAGAAGGTGGTTTCCAGCAAACATGCTAAACTGCACACTAACCCCGTGGGGAGCCAAAAGGGTCTGTCGCTTGAGATGTTTAAGACCAGATTGTACAAAGCAAAATGCACCTACGAGGTGTATTGTCAGTGGGACTGACTAAACTATAATGGGTATGTTTTCAGTAGAGCAACTTATAAATTGTATATGAGAGGAGTACACAAACCAGAAGGAGTTAAAGTCTCATTATTGTCTAACATGTAGAAAACTCGGCGGCTGTTGTAGGACTGTAAGGAAGTGTTGGTCATCATGGTTTATTTAAGCCATATGGTGTTGCTGGCAAAATAGTCTCAACGTGGAATTTTTAACATAATATAATTTATTGCCAACTAGCAACATTCTGATTGTTGATTTGGATATTGGGGGGACCCCAAAACGTAAAACCTTAATGAGCATCTAGGGGAAACGCCTCTCCCTTTTGCCCCCACGTCAGAAAGCTCATCTTAGTCATAAACACAAGAGTCTTGACAGAACAGACCATTATATTCCTTACAGGTGCACTGTGATTACTTATAATACTAAAGATATGTTTTAAAAAAAAAGAACAGGTGGCAACCTACTAAAAAACTTAAGGCATGGTCCTTATTCCGTAAATTTTCCACTAAAAATCCTGCTGGACTCCTGATTTCACATTGTAGTGCGGGAATACTTAATAGTAGGGCTGATGTGAAAAATACCATTCATTTTTAAAAGGAACATTTTTTTCCTCCAGGAAATCTAGCCACTACTGTTTGTATATACAGTTTACCAGTGTTTTGATAAGATTGAATATTGTAGAAACTGTGTCTGATGGATATTTTGTTCAATACCTGTTGTTAGTTGAACTGGAGCAGACCATCTCGGGGAACCACCACAGTGCTCAGATCAGCCTTAGAGTCTGTATTATATGACTTTTTCAATCAAGTATTTTAGGAATGGCAGAAACGCCTCAGATCTCTTCAGAGATAGTCATAACAAAAACTGTTTCAGCTGTTTTTGGAAATGAAAAAGATGGAATGTGTTTGGTATTCATAAAAAATGTTTTTGTTTGGTGGGTTTTTTTTCCTTTATTTTTCTCTTGGATATTTTTTTTCCTCCAGATTTAATCAAAAGTTCTCATTTCACAGTCAATACACACACATACACACGCACGTACCAGAATGTTGCAATTAAAAAACCCCAACCAAACAAGTAGAAAACAAAAATAAAATTCATACCCCACAAAACCAAACTCCAAGCACCCTGCACCCCACAAAAGGAGCAGTTCCTTTCTGTCTTATCTTGGAGTCTGGCTAAATTTTAAAGCGTTCTTAATCTTTACACTGTGGGCTGTTCTTTCATAGAAACTTTACCTTGTAGATAGTTCTATTTGCAGTTTTTCTAGCAGCAGTCATTGATAGTGGAATAACTTCAGGGAAAAAACCTAAAGGAATTTCTAAGTGTCTTGAAGCTCATAGCTGGCATTCCAGTAATGCCTTGGAATCTGGGATTTCCCCCTTCCCCCTCCTTGAATTCTTTAGGTGACTTGTTACTGCTCTGGGATGGTTAAAAAAGCTACTAGAATTAATATGTTATTCCTTGGGTGGTGGCAAGTCCGCTATTACTCCTAGGAATGTTTTAGAAGATATTTCATTTCTTTCTTAAGCTTACAGTTTAAATAGTAATATCTGCATTACTTTGTCTACTTATTAGTGGCAATTATATGAATGATTTTTATAGTTAAAAACTTACTAAAGGTCTTAAAGCAACAAAAGAAAGCAACAAATCCAAATGACAGTCAATGTTTTGTA